AGAGATTATACACATGTGAATTAGGGAAGGACAACACTTCTAAAAGCTAAGGCATTGAGCTGGCTTGTTAATAACTCAGCTAAGGAGGCTGGAAGTGGCATGGTGGTTAAAGGTGCTGGACTCCCACATGGCTGACTGTGGTTTGAGTCCTAGACCTGTTGACTTGCTTTCTTACTGCCCCTGCCCCCCCTTCTGTCTCTCTTTAGTCAAATTAAATAATAATGAATAAAGTTAAATAAAAATAACTAAAAAAGAAAATACTTAGCTAACAGCTAAGGAAGCCAGCTCTCTAGGAGTCAGGCTCTGCTGTAGATGAGCTTTGCCAAGGTTATCTGAAGAAGTGCTTTAGCTTATTTCAGGGATTAGTGCCCAAGAGCAAAATGCAAGTGGCTGAATTGAACAAGTATGTGCAAGTTACACATATTGGTTGGGAGTTTTACCAAAGAACCATTTTGTGTAAAACCCAACATTGCTTATGCTCAAAAGATTACCTTCCACAATGGAAAGATAAACAGGACCTGGATTAATGAATTTACTAGTAACTGTTCCATAATCCCTTGTGTTTTGTCTAAGTTCCTACAAACAAGTAAAAATTCCCTCAGGAAAACAGATGAAATGTAGGAGGCTTGTCTCTCTCTACACTTTTATCAACTCAATTTATGTTTTGCACTGTTGTTCCCTGGACTGCAAGGGTCCTTGAGCTTGCATTTGAAAAGGAAGCCACATGGTGCAAGAGAAACACAGGTCACACTCACAGTATCTCTGAATCTGAAGGTACCTGAGGGGTTATCTATCTATCTATTAGCTTATTTTTCACCTGGGAAGTGTAAGAATGACACCCCATCTCCACAAAGCAAATACACTCTAGGATGTTCATTAGGCATTAGCAGTGTTTCCAGCTAAATAAAATTTTGGCCACATACTGACTGTGCAGTACAAGCTAATTAATGCTTCAATGAAGACCAGAGCTTCACTCGCCCAGGGCCCCCAGGGGTGCCTTGCAGTTTCAGAATTATTGAAGCAAAAAAAGCCAATTCATCCACTTGGTTCAAATAGAAGCTAGGGAGAAATCTATTCTCTCCAAAAATTCCTCTTAATGTAGCCTTGTCTCAGAGCCTAGGTGCTATGGTAACGGAGATTTCAGATATGTCCCTAGACAGAACCCACAGAAAAATCTGAGGCCTCAGCTAATTCTATCTACCCTCAAGGGGGATTCACTTGCTTTGGCAACAAAGCCCATTATAATGATGATTTTTTACAATGTGGGTGTTTCTCTCTTCCTGAATGGAAAAGCCATAGATTTATGAAAAGTGAGTCTTGGATAGATGCCTGAGAAGGCTGCAGACAGGATGGATGTGAAACTTGTTCCCTAAGGATTAAAAATAGGAGGCCCCTTGACTGTGTTGAGATGTTTTTCCCCCTTTTTTTTGGTTATAGGAGGGGCTCATTGGAGGGACACAAAGAGAAGGAAAGTGAGAAATCATGGGCACAGCAATCTCTTCTCCACTCTCCTCTAAGGATTTTGGACATGCATGTGCCCAGAATGTTTTTCTTCTTCTTTTTTTTAATGGTAAGGATGTTGTTATCCATTTCTGCATATTCTGTTTACCAGCATTTCTTTTGGACTTTTTTATTATTTCTTAATCATTTAATTATTTTCATTTAATTATTATTTTATTGTTTTTATTAGTACACACACACACACACACACACACACACACACACACACACATTTTCAATTGCTATACATCATTTGGCTTACAAAAGAGAATGTACCCAACATGAAATACACCTCAGACCAGTCCAGTTGAGAATACTATACACGTTATCTTCAACAGGTAAAAAACCATTACTGTGTCCCACAAATGTGCCCAGAATGTTTTTCAAGCTGCCAGTCTGGGACTCAAACCACACAGGTAGGTGGGATCCAGTGCCTTAACCACCACGCTATCTGCGGGTTCCCATTTCTTTTTCTTTACCACTGCCAGGCCCCTTAACTATATTTCTTTATCCTCAGATGCTCAAAACACTACATGACTAAACATCATGGTGCAAAATTACTGAGTGCTCTTGGGTGCCGATAGTAAGGGAAATTGCATCCTTACATGATTCCTGGCATTGTTTCCTTCCCATTCAATCCTGTAAGCTTTCTGATCTTTTTCAATATTTGACATGTTTGTGAGTTACACTGGTTTAATACAGAAGCAAATCATGAGCCAAAGTAATATGAGTCCCTGTAAGGAAAAGATGGTTGTTTTCCCCTTCTTTAATGAAAGATGGCTTTCAATGAAGAAGGGCCCAACTCCCTAAATGAGTTGTTACCTTGGATGCGGGCTTAAGGTGCATTTTTTTGGACAGTGAAAGAGTGGCAGCAAAGAGCCCAAACACAGTTTACTTAGCTATCTGAGAACTACATTTCTCAGTTCTATCCCACAGCCCAAACTCACCAGCGGCAGAGAACAAAGTGGAAGGCCGTGCCAGGTCGTGGGGGTGGTGGATGGCTCCAAAGAGACTAGGGCCCGGAGGGCGGCTCAGGAACTCAGGTTTCAGTCCAAAGTCCAGCTTATGGGGATCCGACTGCATCTGTTTCTAAAGCAGCAAGGGGAGCAACAAAAGGTGAAATCCTGAGATGAACAGCAGGGAAGAAAAATAAGAAGGAAGAGTCTAGAGTAAATTCTGTAAACCGTACACCAAGGCCCTAAGCCCGGTCAGGTTCAAGTTTGCAAGTGCTGAGAGTATAGCAATCCACCAATCATTTAACCCTCAAATGCCAGAAAACCAGGACAACTAAGAGGTGTCAGCAGTGCCTGCGACCACGTGGTACCTGCTTCTTACCTCCAAAATGTCAAGTGTTTCAGTCTTTGAGATTGTGCGGCTTAAAGAAATAAAACATACCCTATATATTCCAACTGCCACCGCTCCTAAAGTGGTTTATTATTTTGCTATAAAGGCCCATTTTAGCAAGTTTTAAAATGATAGTATTTTAAAGCTCATTTTATTAGGAATTCTGCATGAATAATCTGCTGTGTAAATTAATTGTTTAATGACTCCTTGCCATATTCTACTAAACCACAGTACATTAGTAACTGAAAGTTATGAAGAAATATTTGCATGCTTGCTACAAGCTAATTTTCAAATGATTATTATTACGCATTAAAAAAAGAACAAAAACAAAGTAAGGGTATTAATTTAACTAACAAGTGCTTTTTCTTTCTTAGTATCCCAATTACCTGAGGAAGGGAGGAGGGTCCATCTAAACCAGTAAACCATCTCATGGAGGTAAAGTCCTTGCCATCAACCAGTCCCTCTATTTCCTCATTTTTCTGCCCTTAAGCTAATCTTTCAGCTTGCCATCCTCCAAGGCTGTAGAAATAGTTACAACCTTCTTCTTGACCCCTTCCCACTACATTTGCTGTGGAGGTCGCAGCCCTCTCAACCACATGGTTGCAAAGTTGCCCACATTCTTGATTCTGGACAGCCCGCTCTGAGTCAGCTTCACACTGCCCAGACAAGTGCCGCCCCCAACCCTCGGCCTGGGATCCTAGGATCCTCTGTTTGGAGTAGCCCCTTTCTCCCACCTCACTGCCCTCTGTCTGCTTCTGCCTCTGGCTCTCTAGTCTCTCAGACTCATGTGCTACTCTGAGTCTGGCCTCATTCGTGCTCCACCTCAGATGTCCCGCCTTGTTGTGAGGGATGCTTAACTTGCTGCATAACAGAGAAAGCGAGTGTAGAGGCATCTGTATTGACAAAGCCTGGTGTGGGGGTCAGAGATGAGAGAGGTTTGCCACTCCTGATTGCTTGAGATCAAATACCACTCATCCACCACCTCCATTTAAAGCAAAATCTGCCTGAGCACCTCAAGCTGGAAGCAATACCCCTCAGAAGCACGCAACACTTCCACATTTTTCCCACAGACACTGATCCTTGCTTCTCAACTCTAAGCAGCCAGATGACAAGAAAGATGAATGCCCTCTGAGCCTTGGCACAGTGAGTACCCTGCAGGCAATAGGCCCTCTCAATAAATACTGAGTGAGTGACTGTAAGACTGAGTAAATGAACTGAAAGAGAAAAAGGACGAGATAATTTCCATTCAAATCTACAGGGAATACGATAATGAAAGTCTCACTATAAAGTAATAGCCAAAGCCCCAAACCAAGCTTCTAATTCAGTATAAATCTATAAAAATCCTGAGTATCTCCTTTAATTTGGTTGCCAAGTTATTTAGTGCTAATATTGCATGGTACACAGCATGGTTCCATTAACCACAGCCTAGGTCCATGAAGCAGAATGGGGCTTGGGGAGTACAGTTTGCTGAAAAGGGAAGATGAACGGAGTTATCTCGTGTCCAAGAGGTCTTCCTAATTGAATTGGGATAATGGAAGCTGAAGTCACTGGGGATGCTTTTATGGAAAAGAAGTTGCTAAAGTGGCACATACAACATCCTTCATTGCTTTTAACCAAAGGAGTTAGAGGGAAGACGTGTTTTACCTACTGTTCCGCTAACCACATCATCCAGAACCAAAAGTGAATTGAACTAATCATCAAAATCTACTTAGCTCTTCAGAGCACACACATTTCCTAACTAAGCTAAACCATAAGGCTTCTAATTAAACCTAGCCTAACAATAAAGTAAAAGTGAGCAAAACTCACTGGTGGGATGTTATTGAAAGACTGGTTATCAGGCAACCCAAGTAAAGATCTTAGTGAGGTTTCCTTTTTAACTTTGAACTAGACTGGATTTTTAAAGTCATTTAACTCCTTTATATATATTTCTGTGATAACTAGCTTTCCCTCTTTACTCACTGATCTCCTGTTTTACTCTCATGAAGGCTCCCAGATGCCGTTAGGACTTAACGCTTGTGGGCAGAGAGATGGAGTAGGTGGGCTAACTAGAAACACTGGTTTGGTTTTTCCCACTGTCTCAGGCACAGTTACACAGACTATAACATCTGGACTTCTCAGTTACTTTGTTCCCCAAGCCAACACTGGGACCATAATCAGGTCACCTGCAGAAGTTTCTTATCTCTTCCCTACTGGGTCATAAGGCTCTAAAAAAAGCATGAAGGGAAAAAAGGATGGAATGTATTTATCTGCATAATGAAAATACATACAAAAAGGGAAAAACCTTGGCTATACATCATTTGGCTTACAAAAGAGAATGTACCCAACATGAAATACACCTCAGACCAGTCCAGTTGAGAATACTATACACGTTATCTTCAACAGGTAAAAAACCATTACTGTGTCCCACAAATGTGCCCAGAATGTTTTTCAAGCTGCCAGTCTGGGACTCAAACCACACAGGTAGGTGGGATCCAGTGCCTTAACCACCACGCTATCTGCGGGTTCCCATTTCTTTTTCTTTACCACTGCCAGGCCCCTTAACTATATTTCTTTATCCTCAGATGCTCAAAACACTACATGACTAAACATCATGGTGCAAAATTACTGAGTGCTCTTGGGTGCCGATAGTAAGGGAAATTGCATCCTTACATGATTCCTGGCATTGTTTCCTTCCCATTCAATCCTGTAAGCTTTCTGATCTTTTTCAATATTTGACATGTTTGTGAGTTACACTGGTTTAATACAGAAGCAAATCATGAGCCAAAGTAATATGAGTCCCTGTAAGGAAAAGATGGTTGTTTTCCCCTTCTTTAATGAAAGATGGCTTTCAATGAAGAAGGGCCCAACTCCCTAAATGAGTTGTTACCTTGGATGCGGGCTTAAGGTGCATTTTTTTGGACAGTGAAAGAGTGGCAGCAAAGAGCCCAAACACAGTTTACTTAGCTATCTGAGAACTACATTTCTCAGTTCTATCCCACAGCCCAAACTCACCAGCGGCAGAGAACAAAGTGGAAGGCCGTGCCAGGTCGTGGGGGTGGTGGATGGCTCCAAAGAGACTAGGGCCCGGAGGGCGGCTCAGGAACTCAGGTTTCAGTCCAAAGTCCAGCTTATGGGGATCCGACTGCATCTGTTTCTAAAGCAGCAAGGGGAGCAACAAAAGGTGAAATCCTGAGATGAACAGCAGGGAAGAAAAATAAGAAGGAAGAGTCTAGAGTAAATTCTGTAAACCGTACACCAAGGCCCTAAGCCCGGTCAGGTTCAAGTTTGCAAGTGCTGAGAGTATAGCAATCCACCAATCATTTAACCCTCAAATGCCAGAAAACCAGGACAACTAAGAGGTGTCAGCAGTGCCTGCGACCACGTGGTACCTGCTTCTTACCTCCAAAATGTCAAGTGTTTCAGTCTTTGAGATTGTGCGGCTTAAAGAAATAAAACATACCCTATATATTCCAACTGCCACCGCTCCTAAAGTGGTTTATTATTTTGCTATAAAGGCCCATTTTAGCAAGTTTTAAAATGATAGTATTTTAAAGCTCATTTTATTAGGAATTCTGCATGAATAATCTGCTGTGTAAATTAATTGTTTAATGACTCCTTGCCATATTCTACTAAACCACAGTACATTAGTAACTGAAAGTTATGAAGAAATATTTGCATGCTTGCTACAAGCTAATTTTCAAATGATTATTATTACGCATTAAAAAAAGAACAAAAACAAAGTAAGGGTATTAATTTAACTAACAAGTGCTTTTTCTTTCTTAGTATCCCAATTACCTGAGGAAGGGAGGAGGGTCCATCTAAACCAGTAAACCATCTCATGGAGGTAAAGTCCTTGCCATCAACCAGTCCCTCTATTTCCTCATTTTTCTGCCCTTAAGCTAATCTTTCAGCTTGCCATCCTCCAAGGCTGTAGAAATAGTTACAACCTTCTTCTTGACCCCTTCCCACTACATTTGCTGTGGAGGTCGCAGCCCTCTCAACCACATGGTTGCAAAGTTGCCCACATTCTTGATTCTGGACAGCCCGCTCTGAGTCAGCTTCACACTGCCCAGACAAGTGCCGCCCCCAACCCTCGGCCTGGGATCCTAGGATCCTCTGTTTGGAGTAGCCCCTTTCTCCCACCTCACTGCCCTCTGTCTGCTTCTGCCTCTGGCTCTCTAGTCTCTCAGACTCATGTGCTACTCTGAGTCTGGCCTCATTCGTGCTCCACCTCAGATGTCCCGCCTTGTTGTGAGGGATGCTTAACTTGCTGCATAACAGAGAAAGCGAGTGTAGAGGCATCTGTATTGACAAAGCCTGGTGTGGGGGTCAGAGATGAGAGAGGTTTGCCACTCCTGATTGCTTGAGATCAAATACCACTCATCCACCACCTCCATTTAAAGCAAAATCTGCCTGAGCACCTCAAGCTGGAAGCAATACCCCTCAGAAGCACGCAACACTTCCACATTTTTCCCACAGACACTGATCCTTGCTTCTCAACTCTAAGCAGCCAGATGACAAGAAAGATGAATGCCCTCTGAGCCTTGGCACAGTGAGTACCCTGCAGGCAATAGGCCCTCTCAATAAATACTGAGTGAGTGACTGTAAGACTGAGTAAATGAACTGAAAGAGAAAAAGGACGAGATAATTTCCATTCAAATCTACAGGGAATACGATAATGAAAGTCTCACTATAAAGTAATAGCCAAAGCCCCAAACCAAGCTTCTAATTCAGTATAAATCTATAAAAATCCTGAGTATCTCCTTTAATTTGGTTGCCAAGTTATTTAGTGCTAATATTGCATGGTACACAGCATGGTTCCATTAACCACAACCTAGGTCCATGAAGCAGAATGGGGCTTGGGGAGTACAGTTTGCTGAAAAGGGAAGATGAACGGAGTTATCTCGTGTCCAAGAGGTCTTCCTAATTGAATTGGGATAATGGAAGCTGAAGTCACTGGGGATGCTTTTATGGAAAAGAAGTTGCTAAAGTGGCACATACAACATCCTTCATTGCTTTTAACCAAAGGAGTTAGAGGGAAGACGTGTTTTACCTACTGTTCCGCTAACCACATCATCCAGAACCAAAAGTGAATTGAACTAATCATCAAAATCTACTTAGCTCTTCAGAGCACACACATTTCCTAACTAAGCTAAACCATAAGGCTTCTAATTAAACCTAGCCTAACAATAAAGTAAAAGTGAGCAAAACTCACTGGTGGGATGTTATTGAAAGACTGGTTATCAGGCAACCCAAGTAAAGATCTTAGTGAGGTTTCCTTTTTAACTTTGAACTAGACTGGATTTTTAAAGTCATTTAACTCCTTTATATATATTTCTGTGATAACTAGCTTTCCCTCTTTACTCACTGACCTCCTGTTTTACTCTCATGAAGGCTCCCAGATGCCGTTAGGACTTAACGCTTGTGGGCAGAGAGATGGAGTAGGTGGGCTAACTAGAAACACTGGTTTGGTTTTTCCCACTGTCTCAGGCACAGTTACACAGACTATAACATCTGGACTTCTCAGTTACTTTGTTCCCCAAGCCAACACTGGGACCATAATCAGGTCACCTGCAGAAGTTTCTTATCTCTTCCCTACTGGGTCATAAGGCTCTAAAAAAAGCATGAAGGGAAAAAAGGATGGAATGTATTTATCTGCATAATGAAAATACATACAAAAAGGGAAAAACCTTGGCTAGAGGTTGTTCTGGCAAGTACTGATTGTATTCTTACCCTCCGGCACTATCATCAGGAGGACTCATGAAAAGCCCAATGCTACTTCCTGAAGAGTGATTTTTAACTATGCATTGCCAGTTGGAGTTCAGTTCCACCACCTTCATATAGGGCATAAACCACTCCTGGGACCTGCAGTTGGAGTAATGGCTATGTCGCTGGACTCCCATGTAGTCGACAGCGGTTTGAGTCCCAGACTCGGTGGCTTAAACTCACGCTGGGCGTGTGTGCGTGCGTGCCCAAGATCCCGAGAGTAGAATGGAGAAGGGATTGCAGCGTGACCATTCCCCAGGGGGGGTGATTTCTCACTTTCTGGGTCTCCGTCTTTCTGTTTTCTGGCGAGTGTGTGCACCCTATAGCAAACCGCACCCCCTCACCCCCACCCCCACCAAAAAAAACCCCAAAAAACAAAAAACCCCACACACTTATTGTTTTTTTCCAAAGCCATAAAATGAAAAGAATAGGGACCAGAAGGTGGTGTGGTGGTTAAAGTGCTGGATTTGCACATGGCTGACTATAGTTTGAGACCTGGACCTGATGGCTTGAAAATCATGCTGAGCACATGTGTGTACACCCAAAATCCCAGGAGGAAAATGGAAAAGGGATTGTGGCATGGCTATCCCCCTTGGGGACTGATTTCTCACTTTCTCTCTTACTGTCTCTCTCTGTAGAGCCCATGTTCCCTATGGCAAAATTCTAAGATTAAATAAAAGAAAGAAAAGAAAAGAATGTACTAGTTCTAGCTCTTCCTAGAAGCTAAGTATTTTCCATACTCTAATTCTTGGTCACTACAATTAGATTTCCACGGTATCAAGTCCTTTGGATCGGTAAGATGACAAAATCATAAAAATGGTGGAAAATTATCAAGGAGTGGCCAGTTTGCTTTTGTTTTGTAATTTTACTGGTGTTTTCTCTAATTATTAGTAAGATTTCCAAATAGCTATTCCAAGGGAACTTGATTCTTCCTGCCATAGGTCTTAGGGATCTGTTTTAAATGTCTCCTTAATTAGGTTTTCCTGAGCAAGTCACATGCTCACACACCTGCCCCCCCCCACTCTTTTCTAGAGAAGGGGAGACTGACCTTGACTTTCTGTTGGTGATGGTAAATCTGCCAGGCGATGTGAACATGCATAGCACACCACTTTCCTGGTTTCTGGAATAAGAAAGAACACTGCGGTCAGAAGAAAGACATTTCAGAGAAAACCACCTTCGCTTTCCCCAAAGCTTTCAGCAGATTTTGGCTGCTGCGGCTTTTTTCATGAGCAACAAGAGTTCTTTGTACTCCGATACCCTCCATCAGCAGCTCTGCCATGCCCAGCCAGGAGAGAGGCACCGTCAGCTCCCCCTTCTTCCCACTGTGGGCCTGAGACGAGGGCTCCTCAGAAAACTGCACTCGACGAGGACCCTCCCACCAGTTACCAAGGACAAGCTGGTAAAAGCTTGAATCCCACTTTGTGTCTCTTCTCTCTCTTTTTTGGTGCCAGCTGGCAGACTCGGTAGAGTAGGAAGCCCTACTTAACAAATGCTGCCATGCTATAATGCAAATCAGCTGTTGAGAAGAGCTAATTAGTGAATGTCTGTGAATCAAATCAAAACAAGAGAGGGTGCAGAACCTGTTGTAACCTCCCCCAAGACTGCTTTTTTTTAAAACCCCCCCCCCAAAGTGGTACAAAGAAATTCATCTCATTTTTATTTAAGCCCAGTTACCACAAATGCTTCACCAATAGTCATGTTGATGGGTACTGTTCATTTCTAAATAAAGACCAAACTAAACCAAATCTCATTTTTCCCGGTCTCTAGGCCTCTATGGATATTAAGTCCCTTCTCCGCCCTCTGGAGAGTATATTTTAATCCATAGCTCTCAAATTACTTCACGTTTCGCTTTGTAAACACTGGAATGATTTCTCTGTTCCCAGTGCAAGTGCATGTCTTCTACCAGTCAAGGGCCTCTTCCTACTTCATTCTTGCTACGTCATCTACCCATAAGCTCAGAGTGCATACTCAGTAACTACTGGGCGAATGAGAAGAAAACACAGCCCCATTCTACATCGGCAAAGGACAGAAGCTTCTGGTTTCTACATTAAGGAGTTGTTTCTGAAATATTATATTGGGTTGTCAGAAAAGTCACAATGTACTTTTTCTATGCAAAAATGTGCCATGACTTTTCTAAGGACCCAATATATACTTAAATCCAAGTCAGGGGTCAGTTCTCTTCTCTTACTATGACATTAAATGTTGTTTGAAATCACGAATAATATACTGCCTCATCAAAGTGATCACACAATCCTCTCGTTTCCCTTTGGAGAAATCGAATTATGTGATTCTATGCACCAGAACTGGGTTATGTTCAGCAG